TAGTAAAGATATTTTCAAGTATGTTACTTTTCGAATGGTACTTCTGTATAAGTTTCATGGATTTGTTGATTTGAAATATGAATAAGTATTCTATATGCCTAATTTTGTATAAGGTCGTTTGATACGTTGATATATCTAAATTGGGCCTAAGGCCGTTTGCCGTTTGTCGTTTGCTGTTGATATGTTTGATATATTTGAATTGGCCCTAAGGCTGTTTGACATGAATGATTGGGCCAAAGGCCGTTGGACATGAATGATTGGGCCAAAGGCCGTCGGACATGAATGAATGGGCCAAAGGACGTTAGACATGAATAATTGGGCCAAAGGCCGTCGGATATGAATGATTGGGCCAAAGGTCGTCGGATATGAATGATTGAGCCAAAGGCCGTTGGACATGGATGATTGGGCCAAAGGCCGTTGGACATGAATGATTGGGCCAAAGGCCGTCGGATATGAACGATTGGGCCAAAGGCCTTTAGACATGAATGCAAAGATAGGCCAAAGGCCGTTTGAATATGTCATTTGATATGTTTGAATACCGTGATGGGTTAAAGGCCGTTTGAATAAAAGGGATCATGATCATGAATATGAAATACCCATGGATATGAATATAAAGAGAATGGGCCCGAGGCCGTTTGATACGCCTGATATATTCGAATTGGGCCCGTAGCCGTTTGATAGATGTGAATCTCATTTGCGTACCTTCTTTATCTGATATTATTCACTAGGCTTTCACTCACACTCATTCATGTGTATGTAGGTGAGCAAAGAGATGTTCAAACCCAGCCCCGGTGAAGTCTGTGAGAAAGGTCAAGTTTTGGAGAGTTAGCCCTAAATGACTCACGCATGAAACTTATTTTCGCCTCTTTTGATCTCTTGTTACAATCTCGTTGTGTTGGCGAAATGTTGGATTACCTTTGTATATAAGTTTTGGTTAGGCTGACTAAGACTTGAATGATCCTGTGTGTGTATAACACTTTAAATTCATTTCCTTTTTGGTGTGAGTTATTAATGAATGCTGATATGAGTTATTTGATGTGCCATGTAAGCACGGCTCTATGGACAATTTGCAAGTTTGCTTCCGTTTGGTCCCTTAACTCTGATGGAATACGTTTGTTTGGTTCGAGGCCGCAGGTAATCCCTTGATTACTAGCCGGTTATGACCTTAATCCATAAGGACGGGTTCGGGTCATGACAAAGTGGTATCAGAGCACGAGTTAATAACTCACACACTTGTCCAAAAGAGCAATAAGCATCTAGAAAAAATCTAGGATGCATTCATGTGATAAGTAGGAATTTGTAAACATTGAGACTATGTTTAAATGCTCTGAAATAAATGATTATGTGCTATATGTTTGTGATTTACTTGCATTGTGAATTATGTGAATATGTGTGCTCTTTAGTATATGCATACTTGTGAAACTTTTATATAGAAAATAATGCAAGTCTAATCAGATGGTGAGAACAAGAGGTGATGAAATAGAGGAGTCCTCTACTGCCAGAATGGATAGGATGGAAAGGTTGATTCAGGAAATAGCAGAAACATTAAGGCAACAACAGCAATGGCATGGAGAGAGAAACAAAAATATGAAATAAAACTATATAAAATAAAAGGCAAATAGATTACAAAATCCAAACGGGAGCGCAAGGACACTTGAAATAGATCAGAGACCGGAACTAAAGGTGGGAGACAGTTTATGGTCGTGTTGAACCATTGTAGGAACTGGCTGAAACTAATGTTGGGACAATTTAAAAGGATTATGCTGGACCATTGTAGGAACTAATTGGAATCAATGTCGGGACAGTTTAAAGGGGTCATGTCAGACCGATGTAAGAGCTAACTGGAATCATTGTTAGGACAGTTTAAATGAGTCATGCTGGACCGATGTAGAGAATTGGATCATGTTCCATTGTACGAACTGACTGAAACTAATGCTAAGACAATTTAAGATCTTGCTGGACCGATATAGAAGCTAGCTGGAACTAATGCCGATGATTGAGAGTAAAAAATATATATGATAGAAATATTTGGGATAAAAATAAACAAGCGGACAAAGGAAGAAATTACCATAAAGTGATATTGACAAAAAAATATGATAGCGAAATAGGTTGAGGTCCGGCGGGCAGCTAAGGCAATATTGCCGCCCGCCGATAAGGCAAAGAACACCAAGAGCTTAACTTGTAGCTTTGATACTATGTTAGAATAATAAATAGAGAGAGAGAGAGAGAGAGAGAGAGAGAGAGAGAGAGGGAAGAAATAATATGTATTGTATTGAATTGAATGAATTATTCTATGCAATAAAAGACCTGTATCTATAGGTTGAGAAAAAATATTCTACTAGAAATCTAAGAAAGATTATCCTATAAGAAACTTAATTATGACAATACTTAATATGTATAGGAATATATACATATATATATATATTAACACATACTAAGCCTAAATATGTGAATTATGAATTATGTTCTTAGGCCAAGTTTGGGAAGACTAAATAAGTGCACTTTTTGACTTTTTATGAAATATGGGTTGGATTTGGGTTGGGTTTGAAGTGATGTGTTAGAGAGGTGATGTGACTTAAATGAGATGATGTGACTTAAATAGGAAAGTGACTTTTTGACTTTTTAGATTTTTTGGAAGATGCCAAACTTGGCCTTAGAATCAAATGGATAAATTTTTTAGAAAGTGTAGACAATTCCGTATGCGTTGGAGCAAATTTTCAATAAGTGGCTGACACAAACAATACGTTGATATCTCGAGATGCCCTTATGTTTTATTTGATTCTAAAATGAGATAAAATAGAATGATAATTTTCAATATGTTTATTTTTTTTTTTAATTAATTAAATATAAAAATTAATATTTGATAGAATGATAGTTTCACTTTAGTATAAGAGTATAATTTGGACGGGCTCAATCTCACAAATTCGAGCTTAACTCAAATTTTTTTGGAGCTTGGACAATATATTTTTAAATTCGATATGGATTTAGACAAATATTTGATTCTAAAATGAGATAAAATAGAATGATAATTTTCAATATGTTTATTTTTTTTTTTAATTAATTAAATATAAAAATTAATATTTGATAGAATGATAGTTTCACTTTAGTATAAGAGTATAATTTGGACGGGCTCAATCTCACAAATTCGAGCTTAACTCGAATTTTTTTGGAGCTTGGACAATATATTTTTAAATTCGGTATGGATTTAGACAAAAATTTAGAAATCTGAATTAAATTTGGACGGACTTAAGTAAAAACATCAAACAATTTGAAATCCGCATTATATATATAGATATATAAAAATATTAAATATACATATAAATTATTAGTCATTACATGATATTAAAGTAATTTATATTATTAAATCATATTGAATGTATGTTATATATACAAATAACACAAAATCTTACCTTTTTTTATTCTCATTTATAAATTGTAAAGACCACTATAGTTACATCTCTTTTATATTATATAAATTATTTATTTTGATGTTACTAATGATTTTCTTTATAAAAAAAAATGTAAATAGAGTCAAATTTTAATAATGTAATTGTAAAAAAAAAAAAATGAAATTCATTTACAATTCGGTCAAGTTAGGCAATTCGGATTTAACTTAGGTTGGGTTTGGACAAGTAATCTTAAGTTATAATTCGGGCATGAACAAATTTAGGTAAATTTCAACACAACTTGAGTTAAGCTTGAACAACCTTACAATTCGACCGAATTACTCCTTATTCTAGTGTACCAAACAACCAGAGAGAAAGAGGTGTGGGCTTTCTTCAAAAATATACATATAAATAATATATGTAAAGAGTAAAACGCATCTGCGGGGATAGCTCAGTTGGGAGAGCGTCAGACTGAAGATCTGAAGGTCGCGTGTTCGATCCACGCTCACCGCATTTTTTACCCTTTTATCTTTTGCCCTTTTATCTTTTGCTCAGAATATATATATATTTTCTTTAACATGCATATTAATTTACCCATTTTCTTTAACATGCATATTAATTTACCCTTTTAAACCCTTTTATCTTTTGCTCAGAATATATATATATTTTCCCTTTTATCTTTTGCTCAGAATATATATATATTTTCTTTAACATGCATATTAATTTACCCTTTTAAACCCTTTTATCTTTTGCTCAGAATATATATATTTTTACCCTTTTATCTTTTGCTCAGAATATATATATATTTTCTTTAACATGCATATTAATTTACCCTTTTAAACTCAGGTTTCTGCGTGTGTAATATAATTTGAACTATGGTTTGAAAATATATTATTTTATTAATTTTTTTATTTTTTACGAAAAAGTAAAAAAATAGAGAAAAAATAATTTTTTTACCTTTTTCAATAATTTGTTAGTTTATTACCCTTTTTAACTTTTAGACAAAAAAATAAAATTGCCAAATGAAGCTTTTTGAACTCGACTAATTATTTACAAGTCAAAGTTTAAATACCTCAAAACTCAATATCTTATTCATCATAATTTTCGTTTCTTGTTTTTAAGTATATAGATATGCAGATAAAGTTGAAGCATTACAAAAACCAAAAGGAACAATAAACCAAGATGAGCAAGTCATCATCCCTAGACACTTTACAACAGAAGTTTGAACAAGACAAAAAGATTAAAAGATTGTTCAACAGCACTTCATGTTTGACCAGACCAGTCTAAAAACTTGGTAGTCTGGAACAACACCATTGAACTGTTCAAAAAGACAAAATATTCGAGGAAAAAAAATTCAATCTTGTTTTACAAAATTTCATCTTTAATAGCCTTTTTTTTATTTAAAAAATAAATTAATCGTCTAGTTTAGAAGTATCTAAAAGTGAAGGGTTTTCTTGAGAAAAAAATTAAAAAGAAAACTAAAGAAGAAGAAAGAAAAACAGTAAAAAAAATAATTGCCAAACTTCTGTAAAAGCCAGAATGATGCACAATGATTTATCCCATATCTTTATTTTGATTGAGTACAAATGCTCAAACAAAATGGACAGATCAAACTTCAAAATTTGTTCCTCATGGTACAAAATCTTCAAACAGATTCTAAGTTCACTGTTCAATCATTTCACAAAAAAAGAGAAGAGAAAAGAGATCAATTACTGAAATCACAATAGGGATTGATATCAACAACATTTAAGCTTTTGCAATACAACAAATTTGGAAAACTGTTCATTATAACAACTTGAAACATCCATATGAATCATCAACAGTTGATATTAAAAACCCTGAATTCATCATCATCATCATCATCAATGCCTCTGAAATACTCTGGAACTCAACGTCTTTCCCTGAGGAAGAAGAATTAAAAGAAATCGAATTCAAGATAATTATCAGAACTTTTCTGATCAGGCTTGGCTACTACAACAGCTGCTTTTTCACTAGTTGATGCAGTTGGGGCTGGAATTCGTTCAATCTCAACCGGTTTTGGGATCTCAGGTGGGCTTGCACAACGAATCAAAGCCCAATTCACACCTTCGAAGAAAGGGTGTTGTTTTATTTCCGTTGCGCCTCGTTTGTACGCCAACCTATGCTGTGGCTCTTTCACTAACAACCCTCTTATCAGATCCCTTGCTGCGAAACTGACAACGGGTGAGTCTGGGAACCGAAGTGGCTGACCAACAACGTTCAACAGCGTGGCTCGATTTCCTGATCCCTTGAAAGGAGTTTTACCAAACAATAACTCATACAAAAAGATACCAAAAGTCCACCAATCCACCGCACTGCCATGCCCTTCGCCTTTGATGATTTCAGGTGCCAGGTACTCGTGGGTCCCGACAAATGACATTGAACGTGCCCCTGTTGGCTCAGCAATAAGCTCAGGCAACGGGCTGACTTGGTTTCCAACTTCATTTTTGGGTTTTCGCTCTTTCTTAGATTTACTCGAAAAGATGCGAGGGGTGAAACAAGTGGTTGGGACCGCACATGATGGTTGGATACAAGAGGGCTCGATGCAAGCTGGTTGGACACAATAAATAGGGTTCTTTCGCAAGGGTTCGGTCTCGATGGACGAGGACCTGACAAGTGTTGGGCTGACAGTGCAGCGGAGAGAGAGGTCGAAATCGGAAAGCATTATGTGTCCGTCTTCCCTCACGAGGACATTTTCTGGCTTGAGGTCACGGTAGACAATCCCAAGCATGTGGAGGTATTCCAGAGCAAGGAGGACCTCTCCTACATAAAACCTGCATATCGACATTTGTAAGTTTGATGACAATAAAATTTGAGCACAAATAATGAAAGGCTTTGACAGAACAGCAGACTTATGTTCTCTGGATTTAGGTGACATGATATAAGAAGAATGTAACTTGAGAATGTTTTCGGTAGAAATGATGTTGGGGGTGGGAGTGATGGTAGGGTGCTGGCAGCAGGGTGGTAGCAGTGTCGTGGGGGTGGCGGCGGCGGTTTTGGTAAGATTTTAGTTCAGAAAATATTTTCCACCTTTCAAACATGAACGTTTTCCTCCTAAATGAGCTTGTTTTCCGGTGAAAACACAATGTTTTATGATGACTTTCATTTTCCTTCATACAACTATAAAAGAAACAATAAAATCGTAGCTGATGTTGTGTAGAAGGAAAATGACAAAATAATTAATTCATGTTTTCACCGGAGTGAAACAAGCATTTCTAGTTTACAGACACAAAATCTCCAACTACAAAGCACCCCATGGTACACATGAATTTCATTTTTACATTGAATTTCTACATTCTAATCTCATCATTTTTTGTGTTCCAATAACTTCGGTGTGTTTGGGAAGAAAATATTTTAGCCAAAAAGCCACTGGGAAAGTCAAAAGGCCATATAAAAAAAAGTCAAAGATTCATTCCCTTCTCTCTATTTTTATATGTTTTTTCATAAAAAACCCAAAAACCATTCCCAAATACTTCAATTTTTTTTCACCTCGTATTTTAGCCAAAAAGCCACTTTCTAAACCACCCCAGTTAAAAGTTACCAAATCCATAAGCCTTTTCCCACTTCTATAGCATCAATTTTAAAACTTTGCAAGTAACAAGGGTCAATACCAAATGAAGAAGACACTGCCAGGACAAAGCCCCAAATAGATAAATTGTGTCATGAATGGCAATATCTAAAATGTAGCCAACGTATATGCATGCTGCTAATTTTAAATTGGCAAACGCTACTAAAAGATGACAAAAAGTGAAGAGAAAAGGAAGCAGAAACACAAAAGGGTGTTTATCTGAAAGTGATATAATACAGACAAAGAAATCTGCATTTTCCTCCCTGAAGTCAGTTGCCCCTATATAAATAAGAGTATCAGAGCATGATATTCAAAGTCAATATTCCCCTCAAATGGCCCTAAGGTGCTTATCTATCATTTTTCTTTTGTTTTACATATTTCCATGCTTATGCCAGGCAGTCACGCACCATATGATGGCCCTTTTTCTAATTTTGATTGACTTGCATCTTTTAAAGCATCACTAGTTGTTAGCTCTTGAACAAAACAAGGTCGCCAATTCTAATTGTGAGCAAAACAAGAATGTCCAGCAGAGCAAAGGATATAATTAAAAAATATTTTAGAATATTCAACATCACTCAGCAATTCCATCAAACTCAGCTTGCAAAAAATACTGGTGCCATGTTATATTTTAGTCTCATGTCCATCTCGCATCGCCTTGAGATGATTGTCTATCGTATTATGTTGTTTCTACAAAATTCGATGTCTATTGTATTGATTGATGACACTTAATTAAAACAAAATGCAAACGGAGAGAGACAGAGATATGTGTTACATGGAAACATGGTTTAGAGTCCTAAATGTTTTGAGATGTGTTGCATGGAACATGGACTTTCTATTTCTCTCAAAGTATCCATTTCTGCTGGATATAACAAGTGTAAGGGTGCAGGATATGTGTCACTTTCCCCCTCTTAATCCTATTTAATTTCAAGTATATTCCTACATAATTTACAACATTTTACTCTACAAATATTGTCCAATATGAAATATATGTATCCATGACAGGTCCTGTATCCATATCCAATTTTTGAATACATCTCCTAATGTCTTACAACTTAGCTTTATGAAGATCTGACACTTAAACACGTACCTACACCCACACCTGGTATTCGTATCCAAATCCATGTAAAATGGGTATTCAGGCAACTAGAACCAACTCTTTGAAACCGAACTTAAAAGTAAGACAGGAAAAAAAAAAAATTTTGATTTAGGCATAATTGAAGCTAACAAACTATGGACGCTTACAACTGTCCCACTATAGTTTGCCAGTCTCTCTCATTTTCCTAACAGCCCCTATGAAACTACTAAATGAGAAAAAAAAAGTTATAGTTCAAATCTAAGGACAACCACCTTGTGCAAATACAAAAGAAGGGTTAAGTCTGCTGCACCCAAGCTCATCCCTTACACAGCCCTGTATAGGCAAATCCTTAGTCACCTATATATGAGAATAAAGATTTTCAACACTGAAACAAACATTCCGAAATCTAATTTTGGAATTATTTCGATTCGATATATATATATTTATATCTTGCCTTGCTCATGAGGGATCAAAAATGAAGAGGATATTACCCATAGAACCAACCATTATGTAAAAGACATGCTATAGGAATGATGCCTTGCCAATCAATATTAGAGGGACATTTTAGAAGAGACTAACTTCAAAATCAACAATGCTTTATAAGACAAAGTGGAAAGAATTAGAAGACCTTGTTCAAATATGAGAGTGATAGAGAAGCAGATTTTGAAATAGAGTAGCTGCAAGATGGAAAAAAAAAATGTATTCTATAAATGAATACATTTGGACAACTGTTGGTAGTACTAGTAACAAAGTGGACACCTAGATAGGGAGTGGGAAAATGAAAAAATAAAAAGCAACAGAAGCCAATACTGTGCTGGTGAAAACTAATACAAAATAAATAAAAAAAAAGCCCAAATTCAACAAATTGAAAAAAACATAAAACATGGGTTGGGTAGAGCAAGAAAGAAAAAGAAAATGTTGGTATGTGACTAAACTTACACTGTCAGACACAAATTTCAATCATAAGTTCTTTCAATGCCTTGGGATTTTCTATGTAAATGCTCTCAACATTATTTGTTTGGAAACCTATGAATCGAAGCTTTTCAAATGAAGAACCTCTTTCCCATGCCAATTATGTACAGTACCTATTTTAGAAGAGAAAGTTCCTGGTAATTCTGTGTCTACTTGTAAAAATATTTAATAACTCCACTCCATTTAGCTTCACAATCTTGATTTTTACAAGAGTTTCTGGTGGAGTTCAAAAAACACTATGCTTTAATCACGCTGAAAATCATAATAAGAATTTATACCACCAATATTAATTAGAATCTAGATTCACGGGGATGAACTAATAGATAGTTTTATAAGCACAGCAACTATAGAAACAACAACTAGATGGCAACAAATCACCATAGATAGAATGAATATTAAAATCTGATGAGAAACATTCAACCTAAGCATGCACCAAAATGATCTCTAAGAGTTAACGATGTTCAATTAGATATTATCTATATTGAGTTTACGAATAAGGATGAGTCTCATACTTAACAGCTTGTTCAGAAAAATGCTTCCCCGGTTGCTTCTGCCGAAGTGTGTGCAAGTCACCTCCTGGGCAAAACTCCATCACCAAACATGAGAATTTGTCTGTCTCGAAATGAGTATACAAGCTTGGAAGGAAAGGATGATCCAAAGACTGCAGTATCTCTCTTTCCGTCTGAGCACGAAGTAGCTTCTTACGGCTTGCTAGTGATGCTTTGTCCATAACCTTCATAGCAAAATAACACTTAGTGCCACTCAACTCCGAAAGATAGACACTTCCAATATCCCCACAGCCCAACCTCTTTAGCAATCTGAAATGGCTCAAACCCAATGCCCCATCTTTTGCTCGGACAACCTGAATCGCTTCCCACCTGGAGTCATTTGCCTTATGAGGCTTGTTAATACTGCTACTAAAGCTGCTACAACTACTTTCATCACTTACATCACTGCTTGTGCTACCTCTGCACAAACTGCTCTTTCCACTCTCAACAAAATCGACTCGATCACTAATTTTAGCACTTCCACTAGTCTTTCCAAGGCTACTAGTCCCATCACTAACTTTAGCGGAAACCGAACTTTCCTTTACAGTCCCATGATCCGATGATTTCTTTTCTTGATAAGCTCCATTCTCAAGTGATCCCCTAGAATCACTGACTGTAGGACTTGCATTTGTTGGTACTTGTTTCAAATCACCCAAAGATAAGCTTGAATCTAATTTATCAGCTAAGTCGTTGGAAGACCCCTTTTGCTGAGAATTCAGCGAGTTCTTGTCCTGCTTAGGGGTAGCTTGATGCACATTTCTCGGTAAGTTTTTGGGTGCAACATGCTCGGGTTTACTCGTCTTCGTTACTTGCAAAGATGAAGGCCTACAAGAATTTCCTTCTAATGATTGATTACCGGTCATTTTTCTCAGCTTTTCCGGTGAAGTTCTGACACAAGATTTCGAGGCCATCAAGAAAACTACAAACTCGTTAAATTAATCAGACTGAACCAACCCATTAGTCAGCCCAGCCCTGGGTTTAATACACGGCTCTCTCCATTATCAGCATCGTTTTTCTCATCTCCAACTCCATCAACAAACAGATTGTATCTATAGTAATGAAGAAAAGAAAATTACAAATACACAACATGTTGTATGCCAGGACTCAAAATATTGAGTTCAAATCAATGAAATTACAACTAGGTCTAGATAGGTCACGTGAATGATGAATCCAATCACAAGATTACAGTTAATATTTTTGGGGGAGGGGGAGGGAGAAGAAAAAAAGTTCCACTATTAAATCAACAAATTCCAGGGATCTGATCATAAACCCAGCTCTAAACAGATTCACTTGGGCTGTGTTTGGATCAAGGATTTATGAAGAGAAAGGAAAAAGGGAAAGAAAAGTGGAGATATAATCTTTCTTTTTTTTTCACTTTTCCCCACCCTTACCCTTTCCCTTTCCCTTTCCCTTTCCCTCCACAAACACTCTCTCAAATCATTGATCCAAACACAGGCATGTGAACCAAGTAGATCTACAATCCATCTTCGCTCTAGAAATCGTAGAGATTAAAGTATTGAAACATCTTCTCAAATGAATGAAAATTCAAGATGTAATTAACAAAAAGAATTAAATCTCTCACACACACAGACATAAATCTTTCCATAAAACAATCAAGATATATAAAAAGAACTAAAACATCATGGAAGTAGAAACCCATCTACCTCAAAATAGACTGCCAAGCTTTATCATCGATTGGAACAAAGAATCAAACAATTCACATGAGAAATGTAGGTTTTCTTTTCTTTTCTTTCTCAATAGCTCTTCGTGATCATTAAACACCACATACCAAAAGATAAGAACAAACCTAAGAAGATAAACAAGAGAAAAAGAGAGATATGGGTCAATGAAAAGCACAGATCTTGAGCACAGACCCACCTCTTCCTAATGGAAACCCTACCACAAAGGATCAGAAACCCCACAAAAACCCAGATGCTAAAAAACAAAATAGAGGGTAGAGAAGCAAACCCACAAAGCAAATCGCAGGAACAGCTCAAAAGTACAAAGAAAAAGAAGCCCAAAAAGCAGTACCTGAGGGGTTACAAGACCAGAACTTTAGGGTTTTTCTGTAGCAAATGTAAAGCACTAGTGTTGGCAGAGAGATAAAGAAAGAGTGAGTGACCCCTCCTCAAATGTTTGGAGAGAGTAGAGGAAAGGAAGAAATGCTTTGTTTGGAAAGAGTTCTATGTGGACTACAACATGTATAATAATGGAGTTGAGAGAGAGAGGGATGGGGGGGTCAAAGCTAAAGTAGAGCTTTTCATGTTCAATAATTTTCCATGTATTTTGTCCCAAACACAAGGGTCTGAATCAACATATGGGCCTCTCCTAGGCTCAGCCTTGTCTGGCATTCATGCTTTCCTTCTTTCAACTTTTAGATTATTGATTTTTTTTGTTTATACAAAAATTAATTATAAAATAGATTTATTTTTTATAATTTTTTCATATTAGCCTTGGTTTGGAAAATTATTTTGGCTATATAATCACAAAAGACAAAAAAAAAAAGTTATAAAATCACAAAAGGATAAAAAAAAAAGTTACAAAATTACTAAATTGACCCATATACAAATAAAAAGTCAAAAAAATATCATTTCAAGTGGAGGGCAACTTTGTCATTTCAAAGCTAAAAAGTCAAAAAGCCAAATAAGAATACCAAACGACTAAAAAAGTCAAAAAAGCCAAAAAGATAACTAAAAAAGCCAAAACCAAATAACTCATTTTATGTGAGAGGATTGTAACTTATGTCCGTGATAAATTTTTGTATTATTAAACTTTTTCTTTCCATTTAGGAGAGTTTGTATTTGCACACCATAAAAAATATTCATGTTTGCTATTTTTATGCTCATGTATCAATTATGGAATAAAAATTCATAATTCATATACTAATTATTGGGAAAAAAAAAACTCAATTCTAATAGTTATATCCGAACAATTATTTCTTGTTCAATAGATAATGTTTAGAAATTTACTTGTTCAATAATTAATATTTAAACAAACAAAATTGTGTGAATTGAGAAGGAAAAAAAATGAGAGGAAAGAAATTAATTCTTGTTCAACAATTAATATCTAATCTCATTTTTATGGAGTACGCGTCTCTCTTGTATGTCAGACTTTACACTAAAAAATATTTCACTTGTAATTATTTTAAAATTGTCCCATTGAAATATTATTTTTATAAAAAAAAATACAAATATATATGTGAAATAGTACCCCCTCATTTAGGGTTTTCAATGACTTGGGAATGACCTATGTGCCCTTGGTGCCTCCCAATTAGTGGTCCCAAAACAACTTTTAATAATCACATTTACTTGTGGGCACATGGCCCAACTCTATATTGTCAGCTTAAGAGATGATGCTCATCGACATCCTTTAAGAAAAAGTTAATGTTAGGGGTGCATAAAGAGATGAAAAAATTCAATAATCGAATTAATTTGATTTTTATGTGTTGGGTTGATTTAGTTTATTAATAGATTGATTTGATTTTAGATTTAAGAACAATGAATCCAATCAAAATTGGTTTTAGGTTCAAAGATTTGAAAGTAACCATGTTTGGTTTAGTTCTAGATTTGGTATTAACTAGAATCAAATCAATTCATACATACTTATTAAGTAATACAACAACACAAATATTTCATAAAAATATGGACATAATATAGTGATTATTATTATTATTATTATTATCATCATGGGATGGACGAACTTGTACTATTGAATTGTTGGGATTTAGGTTTAGGCAGATGTAGGGTTGGCAAACAATTTACATTTTATATAATGTCACAGCTAAAACCAAGCCTGTATGTCCAACAAGGTTGTTGTATTGAAATCTAGGTTTGTTTTAGGTGGCTTGTTAATTGGAGAGCACTAAAATTGTTGTACCTAAAACCTTTTTGAGTTTTGATTGCAAGACTCCGGTAGGAACGTGACTTCAAAGATCGCTGAAAGATTTTGATGAGCTTCGATCAAAGCCAAAGAACAAAATTAGAAGGCTTGACCAAACTAAAGCTCAGACCAGAGAACTAGTTGCAATTTTTGCTAAAGTTTCGTATTTGGCTCTAATACCATGTAAGTTTTTTAAATAAAACTGTATATTTAATTGTTTATAATATAAAGAGTACAACTGAATTATATAAACCTAATCTAAAAAAAGAAATACGAATAAACCTGTATTCTTACAATCAATTTCATATTCACACAATCAATCTAATATATTTACATAATTAGCATAATATTCTCACAACGAGTATGCTTTATTACAAAATATTTGATGTTTGTCTTTTAAGTAAAAGGAAATTATTTAATCACATGTATAGAAACAGTGCATGAGATGAAAAATATTAGACATGGGGGAGAAATGTTTCTCTTGTGTTTCTCAATTTTTATTTGTCACTAATAAGGAAACATGGAACTATACCTTTGTCTTTACTGACGATTTGAAGTGAAAGATAGTAAAAGATAAAGTGACGAGACGATACAGTTATCCCGTTTCAAGTTTACATAGCTGTTAAAATGAGCTCTTTACATTGCCTTAATAGAATAATATGTAAAATTTAAAGAAATGAGAGTTTCAGTGCTTTTTTTTTTTTTTTTCTTCTTCTAGGAAATGATTTTTTTTTTCGTATTTCATATATATATATGGGTACAAATTAGAATTTCATTAATGCTATGTTTGGTTTGGGGATATGGGGAGAGATTTGGAAAGGAAAAGGGAAGAGATGTGTGAAACTAGGTAAAATATAGGCATGTTTTATTCACATTTCACCTACCTTTTTCATTTTCCTTTCCAAATCTCTCTCCAAATCCCCCAACAAAACACAACATAAAAAAAATATTTGAGACCTTCAATTTTGATTTATTACACACCTAATGATATAGGGCTCAACTCCCTTGTCCCACATCATTGTGGGTCTCTATCAAATGCATTGGTACAGATTAGGATTTGATCATTTTTAGTGTTATGCCATGTTGCATGTTATTTTTCAAATTGTAAGCTTTATGACTCTTCTTTTGTTTGACAGCATCATGCCAAGAACAAAAAGTGTTTTGTATGCAACAAGCCTACCAACAGCATATTCAACACTGATCACGAAATAAAGAAAAAGATGGCTGCTGAGGGAAAATAACATGTGTGTAAAGAAGTGTTTGGTTACAGCTTTGGTATGTGACCGTGTCTGTTGATTATGTTTTCATTCACCCACTATTGTTGAACACTCAGTTTTTCACTGGGTCTCCCTTGATGCATTAGTTTCAAAATGACATTGAAATGCATACATACATTCACTACAGAGCTGGTGTAATATAACTTTTTGATATATGTTTTTGTATAAATTCAGGCATGTGAGTTGATTCTTCAACTCTTTTTCTTCTCGTTGTAGATTTGGAAGTTATGCTACTGTTCTTTTCTGTATTCTTGTTTGGTCAATAACAAATGTTGAATTATGGTGCAAGTTGTTGAAAAGAAAATCTTTCCTTTCTCTCCTCTCTTCCTACTAACCAAACAGAGGAAGGTCCATCTCCCTACCTCCCTCCTAGAACTGTGCAAAGCATCGCTTAATCTGTTAAAATCATACTGATCCGTATCAATCCGTACTATTCTATCCGTTAATTACGGTTTAAACTTTAAATTTATAATTCGTATTCGAAATCGCTTCGTTTTGTTATAATTAATACATATATATTTTTTAATCTATAATGAAATATCAAAATAAAAATGAGTATAAAAGATATTTAATATATGAAATTTGTTACAAATTAGTGTTATATATATGAAAAAGATTATGTAAAATTAATTTGTATTATGTATATGAAAAATATTATGTGAGTTAGTATTATATATTATGTAAAAACTTAATAATTAGTTAGAACATTTTGCAATCGGTTCAAAATTACTCAAATCATAATTTGTCAATTCGTTAATCTCTTAATCTATCATTCAGTTTATAATTTTACTTTCAAATCGTTTGAACCATAGCACGCACATGCCTACTCCCTCCCCACCTCCGTTCCTACCTCTTCGATTTCCTTCTTTCTTTCGTCTGTATTGTGTTTGCATCTTAGATTATGGAAATTCAATACTTGCTACTTTCTTCATATATGCACCATGGAATTGCTACTTTCTTCAGTCCTTGAATGGGCATACGGGTTAGATTAATCTTTGTTGGAATTAGTGAACCCAACCATTCTTGCTGGGCCAACAAAAGAAAAGGACAAACATATATATATATACTAGCGGTAACCCGTGCGATGCACAAAAAAATAAACTATATATATTTTGTGTGTCACTTGATAACATAAATAACTTGTATCAAACTAAACAAAACATTAAAGAGAGAAATTCTATAAGCTCAGAAAAATTATCATAAATTTACTTGAACTTTTAAATCAGTGGTGTATATTATTATTATGGGATCAAATTATGAATAAATATCAACTTTTAATTATAATTTATAAGTAGTTTTAAAAAAAATTTAATTTAAGTTTGTTGTCTTGCTCATAAAAAGAACTTCTCAAACAAATCATTAATTGATTATGTTAGCAACTCTCTATGTTTGATTTCCTCTATTAATGACACACATATCATATCAAAGTATAAATCCTTCTTCATATTTTGAATAATACTTGCATAGTTCCTACATCATTTTAAAAAAATTAATCAAGATAAGAATGTCATAATATTATAAAAATTATATAAGAAAATAGTTTTAATCCATTTATAAAAAAATAATAAAAAATTATTTGAATTGTACTTGAAAAAATATAACAAATGATAGTTTTAATCATTATATACCCAAAAAAAAATTATATCGGTTACTCAACGAAAAAATGGTCAAATACAAATAGAGTCATGAACATTGAATTAAATCATATGTGCTCTAAATTGATAGTATAATCTAGCAAATCAACTAATAATAACATAGAGATATTGACAAATATGTAGTACTTCCCTATCATCTTTGTATTATATTCATTAATTTCATATATTATATGAAAGTTTTATTCGTCTCGATCCTTCAATAAAATAAGGATCAAGAAAACAAATTTGATAAGAAATTGATTCTAAACTTAATTATTGAAAAAACAAAAATTTCAAAGAGAGAATTTAGAGATGGGATTGAAGAAATACTATAACGAATGACAGCCTTATAAAAAAATTAAAAAAAAAAAAAACATAACAATGATCTAATGCAAATTATTTTTAATAACTAATAGAAAGAATCTCAAATTATTACCTTTTATAAATATAGTGAAAAAAATTAATTTTATG